AATTAGGAGATCCCTTGAGGAGAAAGGGAGGTTGCAACATACATACAAGATAAATGGTCCAAGTCTAGCCAATCTGGGACTACAACAGCTAGAATAAGTAGGAGATCCTTAGTAATCTCCTACTACTTATTCTAGCTGTTGTAGTCCCAGATTGGCTAGACTTGGACCATTTATCTTGTATGTATGTTGCAACCTCCCTTTCTCCTCAAGGGCTCTTTTGGAGAATCAATTGGGCTCTTAGTAATCTCCTATTTTGGTTTTGTTTCTTATTCCAAGGGAGCGAATCAATTGTTGCTATGAGACTAACCTGCTTAGCACGTTCAGAGAAGTGAATAGCAAATCTGGAGACCCTTAGTGCAATTTTTGCGCCAGGATAGAATACTTTATCCAGCTTGCGGCTATCATTACGTTCACAAATTCTAAGTACTCTTGTGAGACCATCTGCATAAACTTCATAACCCAAATTTACCATCTCCATCTCATTGAAGTTACTAGAACTTCTCAGTTTGACCTTGTCGCCTGCCTTCTTATCTAGAGGGAAATTAAACCCCAACACTCTATGTTGCCCAAATTTATAGAAGGGTTTCCATGCCCGCACCTTGTCCAAGTTAACTTCGCGTAGCATATGCAAACCTACAAAAAGAAAGGTAAGAAAAAAGGATATCTATTTTTTTTTCACAATATTAGTATAGATTGATGAATTCATCGAGATTGATGAGTTGTGGAAATTAGAGGTGTGCATAGAGGCGGACCCATAATTTTTTTCAAGCAGTGGCACGATTTGACCATAAAAAAGTATCTAGTTCTTTTTTCACTATATTAGTATAGATATGTTAGTTGGTTCCTTGTACTTGCATAGAAAAAACCCAAGTTCGAGTCGGTCTACATATATTTTTAAAAACACAAGAGGTATATATAGAAACACCAAAATTTAAGCTAAAAACAACAAAATTGACAACTATGAGACTCGAACCTGGGCCTTTTGTACAAAAGAAGGAGCATTTACCATCTTAGCCATTAAAGTCTTGTGTTAACATTTCACTTTCAAAAACTATATGACGGGCACCCAACAAACCAATACGGTGGCACCCTTCAAAAACACAATTTGTCCCCAAATGACGGAACCATGAAGCGGTGGCCCGTGCCACCATATCTATCCATGTGGGTCCGACCCTGGGAGCGCATTCATTATGAAACAAGAAAAGCTTCTGATACATATCAACTCAATGTAGTTATCAAATTACTATAACAAGTACCAGAAAAATATAGATAACCGGTATACGCTAAATAGAAGAAATCAGAAACTAAACTTTCAGAGCTAACTTTCAGAGCTTCTGATACATATCAACTCAATGTTGTTATCAAATTACTATAACAAGTACCAGAAAAATATAGATAAACATGCGCTAAATAGAAGAAATCAGAAACTAAATACATATCAACTCAATGTTGTTATCAAATTATTATAACAAATACCAGAAAAATATAGATATGATATGCGCTAAATAGAAGAAATCAGAAACTAAACTTTTGGCAAGGGGCATTTGATTAGCAGCGTCAAAGTGTAGACGCACAACAGCAGCATGAATAAATAGATACCAGCAAAAAGAAAAACATAACAAGTAACGTCCAAAAGAAGCAGTACCAAAATACAATTTTCATTTGACCCTTTTCTCTGTCCACAACAATAATCACATTTTAACCAGGTGAAGCTATTCCTATAACTTTCACATCAGATTCCAAATTTCATCTATCAAATTTAAGTAAATCAGGGTCTAAGATGAGAAAAAAGTAACTACCACTTATTTGGATGACCAGCCTATGAGTAAGAGATAAATCATCCCACACATAATTAACCTGCTTTGCAGATCCCAAAGTCTCTAGTTCCGTTGAACCCTGAGAAGTTTACACCCATGGCTGAAAGTCAGTCCCTCATGTAAAGAGATTTACATTGTAAAAGAGAGGAGAAATAAATAGATAATATGCATGTGTGTTCTGTTACCAATACATCTCAATCGGTATAGCCAGACTAGTTTTTGTAGAAAAGCTTAATTGTTAGTTGTAACAGTGCATGTTTTATATTTTATCAGATTTGATGATATGAAACAACTGTTTCCCACCTTTTGATAGTAAGTTATAGACGCATCACATAAACCATTCTCAATCCTATAAGGAAAATTCATGTTGGGAGGTCTGTGGAAGCGTAAAACAAGAGACGAATCCTCTTCCGATACAACAACAACAGCAAATTCCTGCTTATTTTCTTCACTTGCTGTTTCTTGGTCTATTTCTTCTACAGTTATGTTTGTAGATCTTCGAAATTTTAGAAAAAATCTACCCATTGAAGCAACGCATACTGGCCCTGACCAATTCAATCCAGCTTCATTTAGTCGAAACTGAATGAACAGCAATGAATCATCTTGAACATTTTTATGCTTTCTAATGAAGTTCTCAAAAATGCTAGTTTCCCTCTTTTTGCTCGTTCTGTTGCAAAGTTGTAATGCTTTCCTCTGTTTACTGCTGACAGTAGTCACACCCTGCATCTCATCCTTCTCATAGTGTAGTCACGAAAAAAAAATATTAGCATACTGTAGGTAAACATACAAGAAAGTCTGAAGGAAAAGAACATAGTGAAAGTGGCATACAAGCTAACCTCTAAGTTACACTGACGAACAGTGATCACTTCATCCGATTCATTCGCTAGAACATATCTTGGACTCAAAGATACTACTTGCGATGGAACTACTTTCCTGATAGTTGAGTGTAATGAAACGCCCAACTTTGTAATATATTTCAGTCCTGGTCCTTCTTCCACTTCTAGATTTATCTCTGTAAGGCCTGATACTGCATCCAAGTCTAATTGTGCCTTTGTTGCTTTGTCATGCAACAGTTTCAGGGACACCTTGTTCGTTCTATGGACATGAATAAAAACAAGGATTATCACAGGCACACATTTGCGCATATATATATATATATATATATACACACACAGAGAGAGGCAGGATTAAATGAGAATGGTACCTATTTAAAAGAACATGAAAACGAGCAAACCACGTGCAAAATCACATGTGATTTTACATTAATGGTCAAAAAAAGGGGTCCGGGCGACTTGTGGCTGCGTCTTCAGGTCGCCGGGTAAGGTCGCCTGAATCACATGTGATTTTGTATGTGATGTTAGTGTAGAATCACATGTGATTCGCCCGTTTTCGTGTTCTTTTATATAGGTACCGTTCTTGTTTGATCCTCCCTCTATATATATAGGGTCAAGTTCAGGGGAAAACTGCAAAAAAAAATGAAAAACTGAGGAACACCCTGGTAACATTCATCTGGAAGGTATGCACATGTGCATACAAGTAATTTGTAAGTAATTTGTCCCGTATACACATGTGAATAACATGCACACATGCATAAAAAACAAGTTTGTATGCACATGTGCATACCGTCCAGATGAATGGTTACTAGGGTGTTCTTCAGTTTATCATTTTTTGGGGGTTTTCCCTTGAACCTCCCTATATATATATACAAGAAAGACCTAAAGCTAAAAGGCGGGAACACAAAGACAACAACCCTTGATAGATGTATTTTTTAAGACATGAATGAATGAACCTGTTCTATTTACAACTTTACTGATGACACTAATGAGTTATAGTCGATGAAAAACTGCTACCTAAAAAACCATGAGATAGCTGATTTAGGAGGCAACAAAACTCCTAGCTGTGAATACCCTTGAGAACGAAGTTCCTCGGCTTCATTTCTGAATAAAAATCGTGTTAAATAGAATAAAGTGCTGAAGGGCGAACACAAATAAAGATGTCCATACTGGAATGCTACCTAGATAGGGGGTTCTGGTTCGGTGCAAGACAAAATAAATCAAAATCAGTGTTATTCTTCAGGGTGTATGGCGTAAATATAGCAGCCTGCAGAAATATAAATGAATCAGCTTTCAAATGAAGGATTATATTAACAATATAGATGGAAACGTATATACCTCCAATATGCCCCTATGCCCACAAGACAACCTTAAAGAACAAAAATATATTCCATCACCGAAGTTCAACTCCATGTCCAAGTTTCGGTTGTCTTTTTTCTGCTTCAGTAACTTTTTAGCCCAATCACCACAATTTACGGGTTTGCAGCTTAATCCAAGGGCAGTCAAGGTAACAGTAAAGAACATTGCCTCAGGATTCGAATACAAGTTGACACTCGACCTGCAAGGAATCGTTGCCTGCTTGCTCATGTTCTCACTGTCTTGGGGCAAATAGCGATCTGCAACAAGATCAAAGTTGGGTCAAACAGTCAACTCGAGTGAGAAATGTTAATGGACATTTCCTGTTATGTTTGTTTCCCAGAAACATTTCCCATCACCTTTATCGGTCAAAAGCACGTGTATCTCTGACTGCACTAGGTTAGATATCTGAACTGTTGGAAGAATATAGATTTCGTTTTGCTCTAGTAATGCAACTGTTGAAGCTCTTCCTTCGATAGCATGTTCAGAGCCATCAGGTTGTAAAATAGGTACGTCTCTTCTGGTGCTCTGAATTAGGAAGTGCAAATCATCAACTTCCCCCTCTTTTGATTTTGAAGAAGTACGAGCCGTGCTGAAGGATGATTTTGCTGATTCAACTGGAAAAGCGTTCCGTACATGGTAACTTATTTTATCAAATAATCCAGAAAGACGTGCAGCCTTTCCACCTTTGAGTTCATCAGACCATCCCATTGAAGCCAAGTTCTTAAAATTTCGAGAGTCATCAGAAATTTTAGGCCTGAAAGAGAATATGAAATTACCTGCCAAATGATTACAGCATGAGAGTTTGGCATTTGTAAGAATACAGAGAATGCAGATAGTGAATTTACAAAATTGCCTTCCCCCAGAAAAAAGGACATGATTTAGTTATCGGGACAATGACACAGCACACCAACTATAAGAAATGATATCAGACAAACATATGCATCTCCAAAAATTGTGCCATGCCAAATGTGTCATACATGTCAAGCTTGCTCCCAGTGACTCGGAACAAAAGCGCTTAATGTATGTGATTGTCTTGAATCGTTCACTTAAAAATTTATTTAACATTACAAAATCATATTTAATATTGACAGAGCATGGGAAATAAAAAAATAAATAGATATATATATATATATATATATATATATATATATAGAGAGAGAGAGAGAGAGAGGGGTTCAGTCGAAAACCCCTAAAAAGATAAACTAAGGAACACCTTGGTAGCCGATCACCTAGATGGTATGCACATGTGCATACAAGTAATTGAAGTTGTTTCTCGATTTTATGCACTTGTGCATGTGCATACCGGACAAATTGCTTAAAGATTACTTGTATGCACATGTGCATACCGTCTAGATGAACGGTTACCAGAGTGTACCTCAATTTTTCATTTTTTTGTAGTTTTCCCCTAAACCTGACCCTATATATATATATATATATATATATATATAGGGGAGGGATCAACAATATGTGCCTGGAGAATATATATATATATATATATGTGTGTGTGTGTGTGTGTGTGTGTGTATAGGGGAGGGATCAACAACATATGCTTGGAGAACCCTATATATATATATATATGTGTGTGTGTGTGTGTGTATAGGGGAGGGATCAACAATATATGCATGGAGAACCTTGACTCCCTGATATCAACACTGCCTAAAAATACACAAACAAGATGAATGACAAAAAAGCTTACATGCATACATGTATACATGGGAAAATAGCATTTGAGGTAATAATAGACCTCACGGTGAGCCCTACATGCGGTGTGAGGGTCGACCTCTTCACTAACTCATCATCAGGGAATATTGTCTGTCTATATGAGAATGGAGGTCTTCAAGTTAATGGTATTTACAGAACAAGAAGATGTTGCCTATATGTACTAGTCTAATTCGGTCTCATCAAATAATATTAAGATAAGTGGAGGCATTCATGCATGCATAAAAATTGTGTTGTATGCTTTACTATAACATGTTATTACAATTTTTATTGGCAACAGGGCACCTATCATAGTTAAGCCTGGTAACTATGATATGAGCAGTTGAACCACTAGAACGACATCTAAACAACAATTTAGCATCTTAATGAGCTTAATGGGACTCACAGCTTATTCAGTCAGCTATACATGACAGTTTGGTAGTGGCTTAATTATATAGAAAGTGGCTTATTCAGTAAGCTTTTAGGGTGGAGCTATATGCACAAAGTCGCGTTCATTCCAAACCTGCCCCTTCCAATTAAAAAATACGCTCCTTCCATCTATGAGGAAGCCCTCCCAAACAAACACAAACAACTTTATTCATACAGGACTTAATGAAAAACCAACCAAACAGCCCCTTACTCTCTTGGCCTAAAATAAGAAAAACACAAGCTCATGACATACCAACACTTGCAGATATTAATGCATTCTTCGATCCACCAGAAGTTTTTATGACATCAAAAGCTGCCGTAGAATCATCAACTGTATCCCCTGCCTTAAGCACTAAAGCATCCTCGTTTTCCTCTTGCACAGGCTGTTGAAATCGGAGCTCGATAGGAAAATCAGTCTTATTGTGGATTCTTAGTAAGGGAGAGACAACAATAGACAAGCCATCCTATAAGAAAATTAGAAACATGGAGGAGAAATGTGACCTTCAAGGAACTTCCTCCTGAAACCTACGTTAGTAGTGACTATAGTTTGAGAAGGTACCTCAGATTTCCATGTAATTTCTACTATAACAAATGGCCCAGGAAATCTTTTTGAATCTGAAAAAATATATTACCGACAAAAGTTAAACTTGGATGAGATAGAGGGAAGTATGCCTTATATCCTTTCCATAATAGAAATGAAAACAGATGCAAAGAGGAGGCTATGATTGAGCATGAATACGTGGACAGCCCAGTGAACTAGATTCCCTCATTGCAGGGTTTAGCAATGGATTCCCTTGCAAAAGAAGGGACTCTGGACCCTGCTAGCAAGGGTAAAGCAATAGCCATTGCATCAAGGCGATTTCCATTACTAGGCATCAATACTAAATGTCAATCAGGTATGAAATCAGAAAGAACTAAAATAATGATTCAAAAACTTTTAGGCTAATAAATTAAGTATCTTGAAACAAGTCATAGTGCCTTGGTCACTTTAGCATAATCTCTCACTGGTGGACTCATCTTGCTGTATCATGGAAGCCATTTACAGATACAATTACAGTTAACATTGCCTTTCTCATGGCATGCCAATTATGGTCATTATATATCTAAGTCTACATTCTGATATGGTAGAATGTGATTAAAATTTAAAACATCCTTCATGACTATTACATGGTGGTTTTAGTAACAGGTAGAGATAACATCCAAAAGTCCTAATGGATGTCACCTATACCTGCACTTTTAAGTAGTCAAATCTGGGACTCAAAAAGTTTACTCCGATCACCAGTTATAAACTCCTATTAGATTAATAGATTCTACCTCTTGAACAGTGGTCAATAAATTCTCAATTAAGAAAAGACTACAGTTGGAACTTCTTATGGCTAAAACTTACAAGTATCCGTATATAAATTTGGGAGGTAGTTGATAGTTCACTCGTAGACAAGTTGGAAGACATATGGTTAGGACTGTATGAGAACTTCATTGAAATATTTACCTAGAGTCAAGCACCTCACATACTACAAAATGTGTACTTAGCAGATCTTAAATCATCCAAATCTCAACTAGCACTTCCATCACAAACATTGACGGTTCATGCCAGTAACTATGCCTCAAATGTCAAAGGCACTATTTGGAGCCTTTAAGTTACCGATCCTCCAAGTGTGTAATACATGTCATTCCAAATGCAGCCATGGTCCATCGACTCCAGAGTTTAAGAGTTAAGTGACTACTAACTTTTAATATATGTAACTGAAATCTCAAAAAAAATCAAATTTTAAAAACGGTTACTTCTCTCATTTTAGTTACCAGGACTGCAATGAATTTCAACCAGGACATTTAATAAAGTCCCAAAGTAAATCATATTCAAGAAATCCACTAAGCTTTTCTAGCAAGCATACTAAGCTAAATAAGACTCCCTCAACTTTGAAAAAAATTAGCCTATGATAGCTGATGAGTTTTGAACTAAAACAAGACTCTTTGGTGCTGAGTTGTGCTCTAAATGATCCAAAACAATGTAAATATGTCAGAAATGTGTTTCAAATGGATTTTGAGTAAAAAATATATTTGGAATGTAAAAGATATCTAAAACTTGAGAAACACGTGTGGAGGTGAAAAATGTCACTTTCTGACCAATCCGCATGCTTGTATGTTGGTTCAGGAAAAAAGCCTAAAAAATAGGAATTTCAATTTTTATCCATCTTGCAGACAACTAATTAATTAGGATATCTTGGAGCACCAGAGGAGTAGCATTAGAGAGAGATTATTGATACTTCTTAGAGGCAAGTTACCGTTAGTTGATGATAAACAATCTTAGAAGCATCGACATCACTTGGAGGTGGGCCTTCCATTGTGTGTTGATGGGTCTAACTTATTTTTATCTCTTTGGTGATCTCTTTGATGCTTTATTATTTATTTTTTAGATTTGGTACACATGAGATTTTTTTTAGTTTAACATTGATGAAACCTTGTAGTTGTTGACATGTTTGTTAATTAATTGATTGCTTCAGCGAGTGTGATTTTACTTTTTCTTAAAGCAAGTTTTGTTCACTTTCATGGGCCGATGGTTATGTTTAGAATGATCTATCTTTTGGTGTGCATAACATTATTGCTTAACGATATTGGCAGCACTCTTTTGAGGTTACAGCCGTCTGACTCCCAAAACTAGTTGAGCAATAATTGTGATTGTGTCGGGTATCTCTTAAATTAGCTAGTGTCATGTAACTTAGAGGATCTTCATCAAGTTACTTCTAGCTGATTTTCCATATTGTCCAAAAGTTGATCTTTTTTCTCTAAAAGAACTTCACCCACGAGTCCATCTTTTCCACACATGGTTTGCGTTTAGATAGGATAGTGTTACACATTAAGTCAGTAGTTTCCTTTAATGTTTTAAAAGATTTACTCAAGTAACTTCAAGTCGGGTGGTAGTCAATCAACCATACAATCCTCGTGGGCATTACTCAGACTTAGAACCCATTGTTACAATTGGCTGGTACACTGAGACAAACAATCATTCTAAAAGTGCTCATCAACATGATAGTGCATGAAGAAGATAGAGGAAGACCATACCATTTTTAGAAACTATATGTGTTCTCCAAGCAAATGTACCAGCTTTTAAGAGTGAGAACTTAATTGGAACGGTCATAAAATCTCCTCGCTCTGCAAGTTGGATTGACACATTCGATGCTTTTGGAGGCTGATTTGATGCCAAGTTCCTTGCAAACACACAATATACCATAGTCACAAACAACTTAGTCTAATGCAAAGAGGATAGCATTGCATTGAAAGTAAAAATATATGTGATATAATTGCCTTTCATCACAAACTAGTTGGTACAGGTTAAAAATCCTTACATTGATATATTTAATGAAAAATTTACTGTTTTTATACAAAATCAGCATGGATAATATTTTGATTAGTTCGCGGTGTCTTCTGTAAACATATTAGGGTAGAGTGTGGTGAGGTATTCTGTAAATATATTTGCACCATATACGAATAACAATTACTAACAATATTATCTACAACAGATCAACCCGTGCTAATGAAAGGAAGTGAAAAATTAAGTGTCATGTGAAATTTCAAATTATTTTGAGATCTGTAGAGACTTCATGCGAACCATTAAAAATGGGGGGAAAAAGCTTAATTGACTATTTGTTGAGTTCACGTCAATAAATACAAAAATGGTTGTGCGGTGCCTACCAGGATTTCCATATTCTGTAAATATTGTATAGACAATTACAGGCACAAATACAGAAGATCCCAATGCGCATGATTTCTTGAAACCAGATTCTTTGAATTGTGCATAAATCATGCACATAATTGGAAAGGACCAAAGCTATAATGTTATGCCAAATCAGCATAGCAGTTGTGACTTCCATATGGGAGGCGCTTAGACTACACGGGGTACAATGACTGTAATCTCGGATATGGATAAAGTGTTTCTTAGCACGTTTTGGAAGAAATTTTTCCGAGTGCAGGAAATAATGTTGAAGTTCACGATGGATTATCACCCACATTCGGATGGTCAATTGGAGGTGGTTAATAGTTGTGTGGAACAATATCTAAAGGGGTGTTTGGTTCATGGATTTTGAAGGAATTGGAATGGATAATTCCTTTGACCAAATTCCAAATCTTATGTTTGGTTCATATAATGAAAATGTAGGACCTTTTGAATTCCATTAAATTCCACAAAATTAAAGAATTCATCATTCCTTGGCATAAGTGAAGGAATTGAATTCCATATCTTTGCATCCAATTTAACCAACACTGCCACCCCCTGCCCCAACCACGACCATGCTAATACCGTCACTGTCACACCCCCACCTAACCCCCCCACCACACCACTA